AATTATGTATAAATGTTAGTTATCAAAAAAATATGCTTTAAAATAGTAAAAATTCAATTTAAAAGTTGGTTATACTTAAAATGATTAAGTGTTATGTGATTTATTATAGAACGAATAATATTATAAGTTAAGTAAAAACAATGAAAACACTCTTGGCACAAGTTCTATATACTGAATTTGAATAAAAGTTATAAGTTGATATATCCTTAAGAAAATAATGAATGGTAATTTTTGGGATCTATTTATGGTCTAATAATATAAGTATAGACCTATAGTCTATTATTATACGATTCACCGATCTTAAGTTATGCCCAGTCTATTAATTACAGTCTCCCACAATCACAAACACATTTGGCTTCATCTTGTACAAATGTTATTTTTTATATTGTGGTGTGCTGTGACCCGGTTTGTTTGTATATAAACTAAGTATGTTTGAAATACATGATTCATATTGTGAAGGCTAAGATTGGCGTTCTGGACTCAACTTTTAGGACTAGTTTGGAAGAAGGACCAATAAAGACTATTGGCTGTTCGTTCAGGTTTATGTGTCATTAGTCCGGTCGATAAGTCACTGTTTTCTAATTGACGGTATTATTATGTTATATATTGATAGGGAACAAGGCTAAAATTCACAACATAAGTGATTACCGATAGAGAAGTTTCGAATATTATTAGAGTGCTTATTTATCATATTGTATCATGGATTACGGGAGAGTAGTATGGTGTTCATACCATGAACTTACGGTGTATTTAAAACCCTTGAGTTATTAGAGAACTATGTTGAGAAAATTTCAAAAAATGCATCCAATAAGATAAGTAGTTCAACATTTGATTGCATTATGTTTGCTGTCGTGTAGTTGTATAAAACAGTCAAACAGTTTTCATGTCAGTTTCCTATTGTGGTTAACGTTTACTTATTTAATATAGCTAAGATACTATAGATTTAAATTTACCACTAAAGTCAGGAAGGTGAGTTTTAATTTTCATAATGAACTAATTATCTGTAAATTCTAAATATTGTTCATCATTAAGTGAATAAGATTTTTAAAATATTTTTATCAAAAATTGCCCGATTTTTTTTTAAGATACAGTTTCATTTCGGTCTGTGCACACTAAACACTTTGTCGTAGATGTTTATGTGGTGTAAGTCAATTCACCATAATCTTTTAGTAACGAATGTATAAAAAAAAGAATAATAGAATACATGAGAATTATGCAACAAATAGTACGTTTGAAAATAGTTTTCGCTGTAAAATGAATAACAGTCAGGAAGCTAGTTTATTTTTGATCTGACATCTTCAAAAATCTGCATGGGATTGAACCAAACATTGATTAACGCACAACCATTCCGTGAAACATATATTTTGTTGGATGGAATGAATGTCATGCATTAACTCAATATTTCTCCATTACGTGTATAATATAATGTCAGTGGACTAAAAGTTTTCATTATAAACATGAATGAAAGTGCCAGTTAAGTTAAGACTAAATCATATGATAATATATATATATATAGAGAGAGAGTAAATAATTTTTAGAATAACAAATGAACTTTTAACGTGATCGAAGGATATGAAAGGAAACTGGGAAAATGAATATGGTGTTTACAACATATTGTACACTATTATCTTGACGGTAGTAGTTCTCAAAGATGTCAACCTACATCATTCAGTATTGGAATTATTGAAATTACTGTTGGATTGTTTTCAACCACTCAACACCAAAATGGAAAATTAAGATGAATTGCTCATCATTTGAAGAAATCATATCGCCATTACGAACTAAACAGTATGGTATATGTTCTTATGTAATGATCGGTTGCTGTGGTATCTTTAAATTTGTTCCCTATTTCTATAACGTTATTTCTACACATATAGCCTGTGATGAGGGAACGAGTAAAGACGAAGCGTTTCGTCTACTTCCCTCAGAGTGTCTTTCTGAGAGTGGACGAAAAGTGAAGATCCGTTGCTCAAAACTGGTCAGTTGATACAGAGTACCTCCCCGGGAGATTTTTCAAGATCCTGATCTAAAATAAAAGGTTATATGGATTTTAAATTGGATGAATGATACACAAGCCTATTGTGGTTATCGAATACCACGGAATTGCATCTTGCGATACTGCTGCACCGTCTTGTAGACGAGATATTTAGGTTTCAGGCTAAGATAGTAATGTAGTTAATCAGAACACAAGTGGAGACAACTGAATGTATTTGGACACAAAATTACAGACCATCTTAGTAAAATCTGAGAAACATACAGTAAATACTTAATTTGAAAAATGTCAATCAATTGTCTCGAAATTCACTGTTCCTTCAGTTCCATACCAAATGCTTACTGTTCCAGTTCTTTCCTTCTCGACCTTCTGCTACCAGACATTGTATTTCTGACAAGCGTCATATACTACTTATATTGATATAAGTAGCACACACCACAGTAACTCTAGGAAAATCACCTATTTTGGTTTGAGTATTCAGGCGATATCCCATACACAAGAAATATGGAAAATCAAACATTTTAAGAGTTATAAAGTTAAATCATACTCTATACAATAGACAGAGTGGATGGTTCACTATATATAACCAACGCTATTAAGACTACTGAGACAAGAGAAGTCAAACTACGCATATGCTAATAGAGAACAATTTTCTTACTCTACGCCACGATAAATACCACTAAAAAAATACCAGCAAACACTTCAAAACTATGTTTCTGAACGGGAAAACAAGTACTATTCGGTGCAACTGCTAACATCGCATTAAAATGTGTGCGAAACTGACCCTCCGGAGGCTACTGCCGGTCCCAAACCCGGATAAAGGAAGGTTGGGCATTGAGTTAGGGACCCCATCCCTTAGGAAACTAAATCGGTAAAAAGAAACGCTAACCAGAAAAATTTAAAGTAAGCAATCGACTATTATACTAAATGATGGACATCTATAAACTGAACCGTTTATTTTATCTTCTCATGTATACCTTCTAGTTATTTAATCACATACATATTGGTACAAAGGGCACCGGACACATATGCGCCACACACAAATAAATGAAATGACACATACTTTCTAGTTGTCCATGCCAATATGGAATATATTTCGAATTCTAAGTCTCTTACCATTAATATTGACAGTTTCAGATGTCAGGCAGTAGTTTAGTTAATTGAGGAGTCGAAATACATAATCGACGATGTACAACCTAGAAGCTGTTTAGAGTCAGCGATCTATTACACCCAAATTCGAATTTTATCTTCTAATGGTTGATTTCACCATGTTTGTTTTCGGATGAATTGGTCTTTGACACCTTTACAACTAACTATTTCTACAACAACAATAAAAATCAGCATTAAAGTTAAACAGACGACTCCTACATGTCAGATTGTGGATGCGCACTGCTGAGGATGTCCATACTAATATGAAACACTCGTTCAGTGCTCACAAGTTATCAGTAGTGATCACGATTCAAATAATAGTTGGATTATTAATGAAATTCTGTCATTTTACTATAATAACTAACTAGAACAGTAAGTCAATGATTAAAGTATCTGACTTTCAATGACTAGATCACAGTTTTAAATTCAATTTCATTTACTTCTGTTTGGGTACTCGGATAACAAAAATCACCAGCTCATAGCATACAATTAACTACACAAATCTATATCGGTTGAATGATTTATGCTTGATTATAACATTTTTATAAACATTTAATGAACAGATTTAAAACAGAATAAATCCTACATTTCATTGTAAGTCATTAGTATTTACTAAAATGTACAAAAAAAACTGTTTTTTTTTCCTCTAAATTATCAATAAAATAAAGGCGTAACGTTATAATTGAAACAGGGAAATTATTTTAGTTTATAAGGTGTTTAGTATATACAAAATCATTATTTAGTTCTACAGTCTATTATACTCTTTAATCCTATAGGAACTATATTGAATTTTCTTAACTCTTTACTCTTTCTCTCTATCACCATCCCCTCATATCGTTTACTTTTTCCCATGAACTAACTAAGTGATATTAGCAAGGGTAAAACAAAAACAAGGATAGGATATTCTTTTCCAAAAATCTTGGTAAATTTAATAACTACACTTTCGCTACACTCTTTTACGTAAAATAAAACACACAGAAAGGAAGAAAGCCAATCAAGAGAAGCTAGCAAGCAACTGGGAGACAAGTAATGGGGAAGGGAAGTAAATTAGGCAAATAGTACATTTTTTCTTTCTTTTGTTTTCTTCCTATAAAATACACAACAATAAAGATAATAATGATAATGAAAGAAGGTAGAGAACTAGAATCGAAATCACTAAGGCAAATAAAGCAAAATAATCGAACAAATATTAAATCTAAAATTAAGAAAAAACCAACTCTGTAGAATTGATATATAAGTTTGTAGGCGTAGGCGGTGAAGTAGAGGATACATGCATACAATGAATGATTAGTTGGGCAGGTGAGCGTGCATACATACACATACAGAAATTCTAAGGCATAATAAGTGCAGAAACGAAGGTACTACACGTTCGGTTAATAAAAGAATGTTAATATTATACTGAGTATGAGGTACTAATAATCAAAAAACGGTTGTTATTATTATTTATCTGATATTTTCATTACACCTATCAGTAGTAATAGTAGTAAAATTGCTACATTAAAAAGCGGTTATAGTCATATTGACAATTAGTAACCATTTTAACATCCTGAGAAATATCCCATGTATATATATTCTATAAAATAGTGGTTATCTGTCTAGAGAAGAGAAAGGATTATTGTAGAGGTGCACAGTTAGATTGAGTGCTGGTCAGTTCATAATCTATTGGGAATGGATCTCACAAAAAGTTTATGGAAACAATAAGAGTAGTTTAGCGAAAAGATATATGGTCTGTAATCAGATAAAAATAACCTGAGTGCTATAAATGTATTCTTCTTTAATCAAACGGGATAAAGACTAGTCGAAAGAAAGACAAGGAACACACGTACACATTGGTATAGAACACAGTATGACCGAGAAGTTAAGCTTCAGAAAGTACCTCAGATTTAACTAATTCCTTGTCTAAATCATCTTGATAACCGAATACATGTGTAGTCGTCAATGAAATACGACATCTAACATAGGCTAATATGATGAAAGCGCAAATTAGCACAAAGAAACAAGTTAACGCTGCTGCTACGATGAGAAAATTCACCATAAAACGATCTCCATATAATGTTGAAGAAAATGATAATGATTTATCATTCAATGGCCAATAGAAATTATTCAACACAGGTGACAACTGATGATGATAATAATTGTGTGAAAGTAATGGTTTGAATAAATCGAGTGAACGAAAATCTGGCAGATTAATCGATGCTAAATAAGCCATTAAACTATGTATATGAACTGAACGAATTTCTTTGGTAAAATTTAATTGAACACCACGATTAATATTTGGACCATAAATAAATAATGGAATATGCATATCAGGCAGTTTTGGATCATAGCCATGCATTCCTTTGGGATCGATTAAATTGTAATGACTCATATTTAATGGCCATGCCTTGGAATGAAATATATAATTTGGTGAAGCGATTAACAATACCGGTGGGAATAATGAATTATTATTATTATTTGTCATAATTTCCCAATGTGAAGGAATGGTCGATGAATTGTATACAGTGAAAGGAGATTTACTTTGTTGGATTAATAAACGATTATACACCTAAATGTTTTGAAGATGAAAAAAAAGAGCAACTGTGAAGATGAAAATCTACTCAAAAACGCTAACTCAAAATAATCAATTATGAATATATATATGAAGAAATATCACTCTCCTATTAACAGATTCATTTTTTCAATGATTGTTAATTAAATCTAGATAATTAGAACTCAAATGTATGCTATAGTGAAAAAAAACGTCATATTGAATAAAATGCATAACGAAAATGACCAGGATACACTCAAAATCTTAGACTTCTTACTACTTGTTCTTCTTAGAGGGTTGTAAATTTTCTCCACTGATCTTGCGTTGTGTTCCCGCCTTGGCGTACTACTTAGGTTCCTTTTCAATTGATGTTTTTGTGTTGATACTTGCAACTGGTCAACAGGATGGGGTAAAAGTTGTCAACTTAATAGAAATGTAACTTGGTTACTCAGTACAGGTTTATGAAGTTATCATTCAAGTCAGACAGTTAGGGTGAGGGATAAAAAACTACTCCCTGAGAAGTTGTATTGGAAGCCATAGCCTACTAATTGGAAGTAGAGTGCTCTAACTACAAAGTCATCACTCTAGATATTAATATCTCCATTTCGTTTTGAGCTGTTATAGAGAAGGGTTTTTATAAAACTTATGCTTTACTTGTTAAAAGGATGGTTAGTAAATAATCTGCAAAAATACAATATGGTTGATGAACAAATCAGTTTACCATAATTAATGTAGAGACTGGTATAAATATAAGCTGGCTCAAAGTTGCTACTCACGAGACTAATGGGGATGCTAAACATCGAAATACTAAATGCAGGAAGAATCAACTTTAATCTTATTAATCAAACGTAGGATAATGATAGCATAACCCACATGAATGTAAATTTGCATACTAAACTTTAAAATAACAATTCAGAATTTTTTAAGAAAAAACATAAGAAGACAAACTAGATAAATGGGGATTAAATTGTTAAACGCAATGACAGATAAGCAGTAAAAAGTGTGTTGAATTTTCTTGATAACAACTTACATTGTTTTCAAATTCTGGTTTAGGCCAGATCCACAATGTACTTCCACGATTTAGTACTCTATCTAATTCTGTCCTACAAACAAGGAAAGGCAACAACAAAAAATATATTATCCTTAAAAATTGATGAATGATTGTACAACAGGTACAATAACTCTACCAGTATACAAAATGTCCAGATCCATACTGCTTTTGTACAATGATATCCTGCTAAATAACTGATTATTACTAGATAAACATAAACAGAGGGAAAAACTGTATGAGGTGATTTTATGAACACATTTCAACTATATATATATATATATATATATATATATATATATATATATATGAGACAAAATACAACTAATTATCTCTTTTGAATTCAACTTATGTAAGAATGTCTTATACGTCAATAAAACTAATATGGACATACTATTCGTGATTTAAACTGTTTAAATCTTAAAATCTCCACAAATCTCCTATAGTACTAATATTCATGTGCTCACTAGTGACTTGCTTTGAGATGTAACTTCTGGAGTTCTAGTGAGAAGCTGTGACCAGTGGAGTTCATTAAACCATGTCAGATGTGAAACAGATATCCAGAGTAGGCAATGGATGATGGTTGAGCAAGATTATAGATTGATTGAAGTCAGATATTAACGCGTCCAGATGTCGGCCTAAAGGTTAAGCGTTCGCGCGCGAGACCGAGGGTTCCGGGTTCGCCTCTGGTTGTGAGTTCACTGATGCGCGCTGCTGAGGAGTCCCATACTATGGCAAAAACATTTTCCGGTGGTCTAGCTTAGATAGACTCATGAGCTCAACCGTGACAATCTGAAGTCATTAAATAATGAAGAAAAAATAATGTTAATAAATGGTTTTAAGAATTGTGAAACAAGGCGCGAAGATTTTTCTCAACTCATAAAGTACTAATTAGTATGTTTAACTTTAAACTACGTTGTGCTTGAGTGTGTAGGAGGAGGGCTGATGGTATTAATACAATCTATTAACATCAAAAGTTTAAGATTCTAGACGTGTTGCACCCTAACGCTTTATTAAATGTATGTTAAAATAATTCCCAAAATTAAAGGCAACAAGCATCTTATGAAATAACCTTTATAATATTTCCTTTACACTAATAGGACACTGAATTCCTTAGGACGGACAATGAACGATTTGTCTGCTCTATACTAGATACTCAGAGCACTGTTCTACAAGGTATCAACACAACTCAAATCAAGAACGCGTGTTCCGTCTGACTAGCACGTGTATTAGCTAACAATCGAGTATGTACAAATGGTCAGGGGAAGAGATATATGACACGTCATATATTTGTCAGACTATCTAACAGTCGTTTGTCTGAGAAAACAACCAATCACCATTTCATATAGCCCACATAACAACGAAACGAGATAAGGCTCCTAAAAGAGTAAATTTCATTCAATGAAAATATATCCCTTTTACTCCACTACTACCAAACTTGTATCGAGAAGCCTGACATCTGTCATAACTCCAAACACAAGTCGGTTAGATTTATCGGAACACAGATTCAAGGAGAATTTCGTTTAAATATTATTATTTTAAAAACAGTTGTTATTTTTAGGTATAATTATCATCAATTTTAATTGACAACTGTACAGCAAGTAAATTTCGAAAATTACAAAGAAACATTTAACTACGTAAAAAAGAATTAAAATTCTGTACTAATCATGAACAATAATTACGTTACCAGAGAAAAGGCATTAGTACATAGGAATCAATAGAGATATTTTTACTGATTCACTGTTATTCTACATTGATTCATGTGACTTAACAAAACAAAATAATTCGTAGAAAATCAATGTACAACTAAGTCATCATGGCAATATCTACATAATCCCTTTGACAAAAAAGAAGCATAGAACAATAAAAAAATACCAGGTATGTTGTAGAGATATCAGCTCACTGAAGACAATTGGTGAACGGTCGCTCAAAATCGTGGATTGGTTGAAGTTAGACATTAACACCGTTGGATGCCAGCTCAGTGGTCTACCGGTTAAGCGCTTCGGCTCGAGACTGGTAGGTCCTGGGTTCGAATCTCGCGAGTGCGGGATCGTGGATGCGCACTGCTGAGGAGTCCCATAATAGGACGAAACCGCTGTCCAGTGCTTTCAGGTTTTCCATGGTGGTCTAGCTTCAATTGACTAATGATTTCAACTGTGAAAATACAAAATAATCATGTGATTTTTTAAAAATATTTCGTAAGTTAGAAAAGACCTATCATGAAATGATCAATGCCTGGTAGTTCATTGGACAATTAGTCAGTCAGCTACAATTCAGAACCAGGAACATATATGCATCAGTTCTAGTCGTCATATCTCATCAGTACAAGATGAAAACCAAATTCATAGTAGTTACTACGATGGTAGTAATGTATAAAAAATGATTGCATATAAGGATATAAGGAAGAAAGAATTACTTTGTAGAAAGAAAGAAATGAAGCAATTTTAATCTCATAGTTTAAGGGAAAACAGGGAGTGTGTATACCTATGCCATTGTGATCGATTATAAACCATGTCACCCAGAGGCTCCAAACATTGGTTACGATAATCACGTGGACCCCGACAAAGTAGTCTGCGTCTACCAACCTAGTCAAGACCAGAAGTTAGTGACTTCAAGCACGTTTTGGTTTGGCAAGAGAATTTGACGAAGGAATTTCTGCTAGTTTGGTGGAAAAGTACGGAGACTATTGAAGTAGGAGTAGTATGGAGAAAGTAAGACTTCCGTTTTTTTCTAAAATCACAGTTAATCAGTGTGAAACCTCAGATCCACTCGGATGACAATTGCCTACAGTAATGTCAATATCACTCTTCCACGGTGTGGGCAACCGAGAAGTGATAACTCCCCTAATACCTCTAACGGCACTCAAAATCAATATATTCATAATCAGTCTCCTTCAATTCTTATTACTCCTTCAACCTCGACTTTCAACACTAAACTTCCTCTTTCGGATTCCTTCTCAAGAGTCACCATAGCCAACGATTCTAGTGCGCAAAACACTGTTCCAGGTATACTGAAACAGCGCTCCAAACTACACATCGGTCAGCAGATCTCCTTGGCTAAAACCCTAGAATCTCATACCATTGATGTATACTGTGTCACCAAAATTCGCATACAGGATCCTAGTGTGTTCATTCACTTGACCTCACCTCGCCAAAACGAAGAGCCAACGAGATACACCCTCCGTGTATCTGGCGACCCGTTGGCTAGTTATCGTGGACTTGCAGGTGTAGGCATAGCACTCAGTACGAGAGCAGAACAAGCACTATTAGAGTAGGTGCCCGTTAACAATCGCCTATGTGGTGTTCGGTTAAACGGCTCCGTAAGAACTCGGAAGGATAGGGACACACGTCGTTGCCTTTTCGTCGTTTCTGCCTACGCTCCCACTGACTGCAGCCATGATGAAGTGAAAGATGACTTTTACAGAAAGCTCTCTGAACTTCTTCAAAAAGCTAAGCGCTCAGACATAGTACTCGAAGGATGTGACTTTAATGTCCAAGTAGTTAGCTTAAACCAAACAGAAAGACATTTAGGTGGTTATTTTCGTATTCCAGTTCAGCGAACAGATAATGGTGATCGTCTGTTACAACTATACTCAGACAATCGTTTATTTTTAGCAAACACTAATTTTAAGCATAAGGAGAGACATAATCTAACATGACGACCACCTGCACCAAACCAACGATGGACTCAAATAGACCATATTGTCATCATTCATCGTTGGAGAGGCTCGATAGATTGTCGTTCGTTTTGGAATACATATTTATACTCTGATCACGCTTTAATACGAGCACGCATTTGTTTGCGCCTCACTGGACGCAGAAAAACCACATTAAGAAGACCCATTAGGATTGAACTGGAGGACGAGAAAGCTAAATGTAAATTCAAGGAACAACTAAGGTCACACTTAGGTAAATCTGAAAACGAAGCTGACCTAGACGTTACATGGAAAGATATAGGAACAGCTGTTGAAGCAGCAGTAACATCTATTAGTTATTTAAACCATAGGGTTCCAAAAAACCAATGGATTCCTTCTAAGTCTATTACACTGATGGGTTCTCGTAAATTCATCCCATCAAGCTCTGAAAACGATGTAGATCGAAAGCAAATCAGATCTAGGTTAACCAAAAGTCTAAGGAACGATTGTGAGCAGTGGTGTGCAACCAAAGCAAACGAGATGGAAAAGCAGCGGTTGCAGGTAACCCTAGACAGCTTTTGAGACTAATGAAAGGAACCGGAATTCAAGTGTAAGTGAGACAATATCGGAAAAAGACGAGACTCTTATCTGCCCTCAGCACAGACGCTTAGAATGATGGGCGGAACACTTTAGAGAACAGTTTAGCTGGCCTTCAGCATCTCTACAGTTACCCGTCATTTCCAGAAAACCTGAATGGAACATTGAATTAGGTCCCCGACTCTAGCTGAAGTTCAAAAGGCTATAACTAATCTGAAACAAGGAAGAGCAGCTGGTCCAGATAGATTGGCTCCAGATGTCTTTAAATATGGTGGTCCAATTTTAGCGATTACGTTGACTAATATTTTAGCTAAAATCTGGGAGTTGGACGTAATCACATCTGACTGGTCTCAATCACTTACTGTCCTAATATATAAGAAGGGGTTAAAATAGTCTTGTGATAACCATAGAGGGATTAGTTTGACTTTTATAGCATCTAAAATACTAGCCTCAATAATTATCGGATAACTAATAGAGACTCATGGACTGCAAACACGAGAAAATCAGGCTGGCTTCAAAACTGGTCGTGACTGCATTTACCACATATTCACTATTCGTCAGATCCCAGAACACAGGCGTCCAACAATGATAGTTTTTCTTGACTTAAAAGCAGCATTTGACCATGTAGACCGAGAGGCTCTGTGGCAGTGTCTGTCATTGAAAGGTAAACCTCAGAAGTACACAAACCTTGTTAGGGCTCTTTACTCGAACCCTACCAGTAGACTCAGAGCTTATGGCGAACTGTCATTTGGTTTCGCAATAATAACGCTCTCGTCGACTGAATTTTCAGGATTTGATCTCCTACCACGAGGTCCACTTATCGA